TACGAAAAATCGAGCAAAAATGGCATGTTTTGTGTGATTAATATAATTGCAATAGAACTCCTCCAGGAGTTTCTAAGCAAAAAATGGGATCATTTACGATTTACCGTCTCAAAATCAAATTTGAAGGGACTGTACGCAGCGTCTCGGCTGGGGATCCTTCATAATTTTTAGTATTGCATCTGGAAGACTTCGGGCGATTGCGGGATGTGGTTGGATTGAAGCGAAGTCCGAATTTTCTGCAATACTCCACTCCCCATTTCCCGAAGTATTGAGCAACAGAAAAATGGTGCACTAATTTGGAATTCATAATTATAAAAGATTTTTTGAAACCTTCTGTAAAGTTTCTTGACGAAAAATTCGGTGCATATATGCAATTAAACTTCTCAAAATGTACTTTTAATGGACTTCAGAAACGTTTGCCTCGGAGAAATTTTAATTTTAAGAATTTGGCTTTATTCGGGTGGGGGAATTCATCAATGGAAATGCATCTAAGGGACACATTATTGTAGCTGTTCATCATTCGTAGATACCCAACCTGCAAGATGATGCTTAATCTCTTGATGGGATCACGAAGCAGATAATTTTCATATTTTTTCTTCTGGGACAGGTGTTCTTGAATGAACCTCAATTTATTGACAAAAATACATTAAAACTTTGATTATACAGTATCAGGAAGGTTATACCCAAAACATAGCCCTTCGAGGATGTTTAAATTTCATTGAAGCCGAGGATTTTGTGAGATATAAAATTGAAATTATAGAAACAGGAGGTTATTTACGACATGAGTGAGTCCAACAGTGTTGCACTTGAAGTATTTTCAGAAATTTAGAAATTAAAAATGAAAAATTATATACTTACATAAGGATTTTCATGCATGCATGGCTTTCATTCGTAATATGTGACTTGTCTCATCTTTCCATTCCAGCCTGCAAAACCAATGCAATTTTTAGAGAATCCTTCGAATAAAAAAAAATCTTTGAAGCACCCATCATCAGTTCTCCGAAGCATTAATGAAATCATGTAAAATATTGTTTTTGTTTGAGGTTAACAGAATTCATAAATGAAGATATAGTCATAAAGGTTATTCGAAGCCTCGCTTCGAATATCATTTTAAATTTTTCGTAAAAGATATTCTGAACATTTTCACTGGTCATTCACGCCAGCTGAAGGCATCACTTTTCTTTCCAGACTCAGGAATTCTGATGCATCCACTGACGACAAAGGGGGTCTCGCACAAGACGTAAATAGGGGTTGCATCGGAACAAGAAATAGGCGGCAGGGTTATAGACGCTTAGACCTAGTGGGGTTTCCGTCAGGGGTCGTGCAACGATAGACCTAATGGCTGGAAAATGATGGATGATCGCCTTCGCTGTTATATACGCTCAAGTTTTTCCCTTTTTCTTTTACGACTCGTCCTGCTTTTTTTTTTTTCTTCCTTTTTCCCTCCCTCACAACCTCCCACGCCTCGTCCTGCTTTTTTTTTTTTCATCCTTTCGCCCTCCCTCACAAACTCCCACATGGTACATACAAGGAAGGCTGTGTTGTTTCCTGTTCCCCGACACTCATTCTTGATTTCATCGTCTGCTTCACAAAGAGCCGGGGCAGTTTCACGTAAAGAATGCTCTTGTTTCAGATTCTACCGCCTCTTGCGATCGATCCGATATATTTTTCCATCCTGCATGGGAATATGGTTGCCAACTGAGAGTCGAAAATCCTGCTCTGGGCGAAGAATATTTTTGAGTGAGGGATTTTTGTTGCTGCTGAAACTAGTCCCTCATGCATGACGTGTGTTTTTTTTATTTATTTCAATGTTCAGTTCAGTATTTGTGTTTTTCCTAATGCACGTCCTGTCAATCTTTTGAAGATTTTTAAAAACAAAAAATTCCTTCGGAAAGAAAGGATTCAGTTAAATTCGTATTGCTTCAAAGATCTGCCCAGGAAAGCATGAAATCAATCAAAGCTATATAGTTTAGTACGAACATTTGTTTTTTTATTGGTCTGCGTCCAACTTTTGACAAATCAGAAAATCTCGTTAAGTTCCTCTCACCTTTTTTTTTGAAGTTCAGTATTCGGCGTAAATTTCTTTTAGAATTGATGAATTTCATGTTAGGAAAAGTACATATATTTTATTTTCTGGATAAATTCATGATTTAAAAAGTTTGATCAAGAAATCGCTATATGACCCACGATCGAAGAATCTCTCCGAATCCCACCAGTTTTCCCATCCTAATCTTTTAAATTTTGAAAAAGCGTGCTGAACTTTCGTTTCAAATTTGCATGTTGCACTGAATCAAAAATATAAAAACATAGAAGTTAAACATTTGTTTGTTTTCCTCCCTTTTACAATGGATCACGAAGAAGTATTCGGAAGAATAATCGTGGCTTTCCGGAAAATAATTTTTCTCTGATCCAAAACATTGCTGCATCTGGTAAGCAGAAGTCGCATTAGACTGAATGGTTTTTATTTGACGAAATATTTAAAAAAAATCCTCGGTTGCACTTCTAAATTTAAAAGGTTTTTCCTCTGTTTTAACATGTTTTAATCCTATCTGCTTGATAAAAATTTTAGCTGCAGGCGGAACTTCGGTATAAATCTCTTCCCGTACATCATGAACGCGAAGCATGTGTTGAATGCTTTCTATTTTCACGATGAACGCGGAGTTCGAAAACGCATAATTTATTCAACTTATTTCGAACACAAAACAGATAGGCGAAATCTTTCGAGATCCGGACACACAAACTCGTTCGGCAACGTGTGCAAAAATGGTAACCCTGTCAATTGCAATAGCCGATGATCAACGCGGGCTGAAATCGATTCCCTCCGCGAATCGCTCGCAATATCCTCTCACGTTTCAAGTCGAGCGTGAAATCTCCCCAATTTCAATTCTATGCGACGACGAATCCTCTCCCTTCCGTACGTGTCAACGCGCGCCTTTGAAAATGAAACACAGGAATGAAAAAAAAGAGAAAACTACCGAACGAATGAATGAATGAAAGAAAGCCAGCGTGGAAAATAAATCCGACATTGATTCCTCGGCGCTTTAAAGCCGCACTCGTTAGTGGGCGAGAAAAGCAGCGGTTTGAAATCCCGGATGCGCTGCGACACGCATCGAACCCCGCCGGGACAGATGAATTAGATTTCAAAAGCACCTCTGCTGTTGGGTTCTGTGGGAGGGGACTGTGATTGCGGGGCAGATGAAACCCAGCAATTTACTCTGATGAACAGACTGCTGGTGTATAGAACGTGACAAATCATTACCGGCGGATTAGTCGCCTCTCTTGAAAACGGGGGGGGGGGGGGGATGGACAAATCTTGTCTCTGATTCCGAAACGACGGTTTGTGTCATCCATGGAAAGCATTAGGTTTACTTCAATCAATGCTGGCAGAAGTTCAGGTTGACTCAGCAGGATTCAGATTATCCATGCTCCAATCAGTGGAACACGCAATTACACCTGAACATATATTTTTACCACGTTTTTATGAACTCACTTTCTTGTCTGTTTGTTTGTCCAGATCAAATCTACTAAATTTTTTCTTTAAAACAGAAAAAGTCTCTTCAAGCTGAATCTTATCATTTGATTTCATGCCACGTTTTGAATAAAATACTTGGCAGGTGTCTATAGAGGATCGATAGTTGAAATTGTGAATAATACCAACATTTCACATTTAAATGAAGAAAACGGATCATTCAGTAATCAATTACTGTACCTTTAAACCCCCTGGTTTGGATAAGAGGTTTAATATTTCATTGGAATCATTGTTAATGCATGTAACGCACATTGATCGAAGTTTGTTGATACCACATTCAGTAAATTCATACCGTAAAATATATGATTATGCTCAAATACTGCTGTTCCTCCAAACTTCAGTTTGATTCATCTTCCCTAGCTTTTTCCAGTTAAAAAAAAAGCTGCTGGTTTTTTCAAATGTTTAGCCTTATTACAGTACTTCATTTATTCATTTGATCAGTGCTTCCTATTTCTATTATTCTTTTCTATTTCTTCCATATTTTCTGAAATAGTGCATATATGTGGTACTTGCAATTTCCGTACATACGTGGCGTATGAGAAATTTTCTCCAAATTAATGCATCCAGCAATACCTTCTTTAAAACATTTCAAGGCTAAACGAACTATAAAAATAATTGGAAAATGATTAAGTTCCGTTTATCAAACTTGTTTCATTATTCTTCATCACGACGTTCCAAAAAGCTAGAAAAGTAAATACTATTAAATTCGGACCCCCCTTGATACTGTAAAAGAAAGAACATCAATTGTCTTGCCAAAGAGAGGGATTATGATTTTTTTAGGTAATGATCCCGGGGAATTCAGCACAACTTCAGTGTTGCGAAAAATTTCGTCAATGCACAAGCTGCATGACATTCCGCTCTTCAAGTTTCCATGTGAACAAACGAGTTTAATTCGTGGAAGGAGGAAATTTATCATACTGTATCATGCCCAAAATATTCCGGAAGCTTCTGGAACACTTTTCGAAAGAATTACGTACGTAGTTTCGTCTCAGCTTTCATAAAATGTGTACACTCATGCCATACAACGTTTACTACGTTCCATTTATTTTCGATTCTGCGATTCGTGCTTTCTTTAAGATGCTGCTTTGAGAAGAGTACAGTACTTTTCTCATTGCATGTATATTTTTATTTCGTCTCTCTCACCGAACGAGTGGAATATCAGAAATTAACGACCGAAACAAGCTTTAAAAAAGAAGCAGCAAAGAGAGAGAGAGAGAGAGAGAGAGAGAAAACGTCACTCACTCGACGTTGCCAAAAAAGGAATCGGACTGCGGAAAATCCTGGCTGATGGATGACGCAGTTGATTGCATTCCTCGCAGCGTGTTTCAAATCGGGGAGAACATTTTTTTGCGTTGTCTGCTTCCCTTGGTTTATATTCCTTTTTTTTGTGTATGTGTGTGAGCCATCTTTTTTTTTTCGAGAACAGAATCACAAAAGCTGCATACTCCCCGGATATGATTGCGTCACAGCAATGAAATTGTCGCGTTGTTGCAGTTGCGTGTCGAACCGACGGAACGAATCCGATTTGCATCCCCTCGTCGCTATACTCGGGGTTCATTTCAGGACAAAAGCGTTGAGGTTCGTTTCTCAAGTGCGACACAAATTTAATGTCGAGTGTTTGAGCGGGATTCATATTTTGTTTTCGATCTGTAAGAAATATCTATCAAACTTTTTGATTTTCTAGAAAAAAAGACGCATACCCGGTTTTATTGTATTCACCCTGTTTTCTCTATAAAAAAAATACGGCATATTCATTGAATGCAGACTATGTATAGTACAGCATTTACAGTACTTTCAAACAACACCCTAAATAGAAGCTTTGCCATGAGAAAAATCTCATAAAATGAAATGAAGTGTCAAGAAATAAAAATACCCTTTGTTTTCCTTGGAAAAAGTATAGCTGCTGTCAGATTAATTCTATTCCATCTCACAAAATCCCTTTCAGTGTCCATCCTGAATTACTTTTTCATGTGGACTGACAGCTCCACACAAGAAAATTTCCCCATAACCAAACGCATTATAATACGAATAAAGTTATTTTCATCTGACCATAGCATATTTTGCTGTTTTTCCAGAAGCTCCAGTTTACTTTTGGAATATTGTGTGAGAACATAAAACTGGGAATTATCGTATCAGAAGCTCTGAAGATCAATGTTCTCCAACCTTTTTTGGCCCGCAGACAAGCAAATTTAAAAAATATTTATAATTATGCACATGCGAATTTCCAAAAAAAAAACATTTCTACAGACTGGCAAAGTTTCCTAAAACTGTTGCAGACTCAAAAAAGTTCATTTCTATGGGGAAGGTATTTAAAAGTTTCTTAGTTTACAAAAATTAAGCTCAGAACCAATGAAGCATCTTCATTGGAGTGTCCTCAAAAAATTAAAAAGCTGGACTAGAAAGGTTTCTCAGAATGAAAAAATTAAAATGATTTATTTCAGCAGGTGAAAATTTGACTGAAGCGTTATAGAGAAAGTCAACTTTTATTTTTCAACACACAATTTCAACTGCAATTGTCTTTCCATAATTTCAGGTGAAGATAACCGACTGCATGGCTAATTTTGATCAATTTATTATGCTGATGAAAATTCCTTACAGACCATCAGCAAAAGACTTTTGTAAACCAGTGAAGGTCCACAGACCATGACTTTGAGAACACTGCTGCAGATGATAAGCTCCTCGAGAAATATCTAGCAACTCTGAAATACTATCTGGAAATTGCCGGAATAATTGCAGTATTCAAGCGAAATTTTCGAGATTTAATCTAGGTTGATCCTGCATGAGGAAGCTCTTTCTTATACGCATCCCTTGTATTCAAATCATATACGTCGTTATACGTAGAAAAATAAAATGGGTTCTCCATTTCTTCCCCTTGCTTGCGAGCAGCAAGTGCAGTTGAAACTGAAGCTTTCAACAATGGAGCTCGGGATGTGGTGCTGCATGAGACACCACAAAAGTAAGAGGAGAAAAAGAGAGCAGCTGCAAAATATACGACTAGACGGGAGGAATGAACTTTGGCAGGATGATCGACGGATCTCGATTGGAACGCTTCTGGTTCGGCGCACAACAATTTCTTGTGCACCGTAATACGCCAGTCGCATTTACGGAGAAATATCCGTCTGAGGGTATGATAAAGCACTCTCTGCTTATAGCGGGAATTCGGCAGGACAATTCTTTAAATCCTTTCATTATTTAACTCCGTCTCGTGGGGGAGACAGTGAACGATCATTCTTCGGAGGCACTTCCGCGTGGAGTGGACTACCGACGATTACCGGGGTGGAAAAAAAGGAAAGGCTTTGGAAAGAGGAGAGTTTCTTCATATTTTTAGTGGTTTAAATTTTTAAGCTGTTGGGGAATAAATTACTTCAACATAAATTTGAGAAATTTGCTAGTGGATCAAATTGAGGAATAAAGAAAAGTTTAAAAATTAGAAATAAAAAGCAGAATCACCCTGGGACAAGGCCGGAAATCATTTTAGGATTTATAATTAGAAAATGTTTGAAATGTATTTCAATTTTGTCCCAACAATATAAGTTTGAACAACACCTCTTTAACAACTCAGCAGAAATCTTCCAATTTCAGAATTTTGCACACACATTTTCACCGCAAAAGTTTGATCACGAATGCGGCTTTGTTGGCTTTCTTCTTCGGTGGATGAGGCAAAAACGGAAATTGAATCTGGTTTTCATTGTTTTAGGTGGTGCTGTTTCCCTTAAAGAGTGGTTTTCCTTTGAGGAGTGGTTTTCAGTGTATTAGTTCCTCGTTTTTTATAGGTTTTATTAATTTAACTTTATTTGGTGGTGCGTACTGGTTCCCCAACATAAGCTAAAAGACTAACCATGAAGTTTATTATCTGTATCGCAAAGTTTTTTCTGCCAATTTGAACAGAACGAGGGATCATTTCAGTATCAAAATACACCATATCAGAATGCACAAGTATATTTCCTCGACAGTCTTTCCAATCAAAAGCATGCCGAATGTGCCTAACTTTTCGAATAACTTACCGAATGGCATGATAATAAGATTTTTCTGCCACTATTCGAAGTTTGTGGAATTTTTTTTTAACAAGTTTCCTGTTTTTCTTAACGTCAGAGATCCTTCGATTCTATGACAATTTTAGTGCAATTTTTTGCTGAATTTCTTGTTTCAATAGAATGCATTTATTTCGCTGTCTTATTGTTGTCATTTATTTCTCACAACGCTTTCACTACGGATTGAGGAACATGTGCTAACGTTATTATTTTCGCAACGCATGCAAAGCTTTTAAATGGTACATTTTACAATAATAATATAATAATAAAAGGGTTTGGATGCGGGAGTTCTGGTTATTCCTTGTGAACGCTGAAAAGCGTCAAATAAAGTTTTCTGTTCATTCATTCATTCATTCATAAAAGATAATATACTCATGAAAACAGGGAACTTCTTTTATGTCTCATGATAATTGAACAAGTCTGGGTTCAAAAATACCACCTTAATTACTCGCTATTCTCAGATGGCCAAAAAAAAAAACAAAACAAAGAAGCACACCCAATGAGCGAGCGTAATGAACGAGTTTGGATCTCCAAGTTGTCTATACGACTTCAAATGCTGTCCTTGATGTACTTTTCTGCTTTCATGGGGCTTTGTTTTGGTTCTGTAAATCATTCACAAATTTTATGTGTTAGCAGCAGGGAGAAGAAAGGGTTGCATTGAAGTTAAACAATCAAAGACAGTTTTGCCTCGACTTTTAAATTGCTTCTCCATCGGCCCATTTCCTTTTCTTCGATTTTTTTATTGAGTTGGTGCCTGTCATTCATTTGATCTATTCTGTGAGTTGAAAGCTTCCCATTTGTTTATCCATACAAGCACAGCTTTTTGCCATTCGGAAATTAATTTCTCATCTCAAATTTCACAACTGTGTCAACATGTGGAACCTTATTTTCTGTACCACGCTTTTCTCATGAGTTATGACTAAGCTAAGCTGCGTACTAGCTCAGTGTACTCAAATAAATATCCATTTTTTATTTACAGCGTTTTTTTGTGGTCCCATAAAGTTGATTTCGGAGTTCTATTTTCATCCAGGGAAGTTAGGAATGAGCTTCAAATAATATTGGAATTTTTATCGTGATTCGCGAGGAAGAAGACTTGAAGAAGGTTTTTATGCATGAAAATGTATCTCGAACGCGGCGTGTTTCAGAAATCGCGAATGCTTGTTTGAATTATTGAATTTGATTGGAATTTTCAAAAGTTCGAGACACTTCACAAGTGTAACCACTCGTTTTGTCGTATGGTGCCATCATTTTAGGTATTTATTCCTGCTGGTGCGGAAAACCAGAGTTTTCAAGTATCGACGAGGCTGGCTCTATGGCATCACCAGATATTACACACCCGAGGATTTTCGGATGCGTAACCCTCATCGTCTACCGCGAGACAATTTTCTCCGGGACAAGGATGGAACAGGAAAACATGGAACGGCTTCTTGTGATTGGAATTCCAGCTGCAACCCTGCTGCCCGACCCGACATGAATCCCACCATAGCCGCCTTAATGGCTCTCGCGCTGCTCCCCGCGCCCGGCGAAAGGCAGCAAAAAGAAGGGAGAAGAAAACGGCTGCAAAGCAGGACAAGTGCGCGCGGGTGGCCGAGATGAGGAGGAGAAAAGCCATATAGACGGTTGGTATAGGACGGGGAGGAAAGAAGGGCAAGGGAGAAAATTTTCCCCAGAAAACCCCCGGACCCAATCCATAATATTTCTGCACCATTGCGCCACGCCTCCGTGACAGCGCAGCATTCATCTCAGCACCCTGCGACGCCCAGCCCCGGAGGGAAGAAAGCCAAGGCCGCTTTTCTTGACGTTTTGCCCCCTTCTTCTCCCTCCATCTTATATATATACTGTATATATATATATATATATATATCGCGAAAAGGAATTGCCGAAATTCTTTCTTGTACGCGTCAGTATATTTTTTCCTGATTTTTGTTCCTTTCTTTCTGTCCGCATTTTTTTTGCCTTCAATTTTCTTTTCGTTATTAGCGAGAAGAAATCTCTCTCTCTCATCTGTGCCTCTTTTTTGGGGGTTTGTGCCAGAAAATATAGTGATGCAAATATAGTATTGCATTCATACTCTCTCTCTCTCTCTCTCTCTCTTCCTTTTTTCTCTCTCTCTCATTTTCTTGTGATGGAAGTCCGTGCTTCTTCCAGCTTCATCCCGCATCAATAAGCTCCTTGTCTTCTTCCTTTGGTTCAGTCTGCTTGTCTTGATTTTTTTTTTCTGTGTTTTTTTGCATCTAAATACTGTATTGTCACAAGCGAAGGATTTCGGAGATAATTCGCAACGGTCACACTTTTCAAGCATTTTGTGCGGATTATGTTACTTTCAAGCTGGGCCAATTTTTAACGTGTCTTTTTATGCGTGTGAATAAGGTTGAGTACCATCATTTCAAATATCTTTACATCTTTACATAAAGACGGAAACTAGCGTTTGAAGTCCATCATGAACTCTAACGATTCAGTTCTTGAGAAGAAATGATTTTTTGAAAAGCATTTCTTAAAGTGATTATATGCTCAGTGAGCAAGAAATAATCCGTTTCCTCCCAAAACTAGTCCAAATTTAAAATGGCATCCCAAAATATAGACGTTTGTTCTTACACACACTAATAGCAGTCATTTGACTTGAATCGTCCATGTCGTTCTTCCTATGATGGCTGTCATTCGACATAAATGCAAGAAGTGCCTCAAAAGCATTCAAAGATTGTATATTTAATTATTCAGTCTTTGGTCTCACTTGTTGGAGTTTTGGGGATGGATTCGATAGACGTAATGTATGAAGTGCTATATTTGCGCCTTTCTAAAGGATTTTTTCAAATTGTTATCCCTAATGTGACATTGGAGATCGTGACACTTCGCAGTTTCGCACTAATTTTAAAGATCTATCCATCCCCTGCCAACTCCTTTTCAAAATGATAGTTCTGGGCTTCACGAATCTCTAGCCCTTAAGACAAGTATTCCTTCCTAAAAAAAACCACACATGAAAGAAATGCGAAGACCCCATGATTGTTTGAGAGCCAATCAGATAAAATGAGTGCCAATCAGATAAAATGAGAGCCAATCAGAAACAATAAAATGCATGCAACCTTCACGAAGAAATGTATCAAGAATTCCAACGATGAAAAATCTGTGAAGACCTAAATACAAATGAGACACCAGAATTAACTGAACACTAGCATCATCTTTCAATTTGCTATAAAAACAAAAGTTGCAGGTGTTGTGAATATTTGGAAACAGTTATCCGTAGCGACTTTTGAAAAGTTGTTCATCATAACTTTCGGAGCTTGATGCATTAATTTACTTTCGGAATTTTGATTTTAAATTTTCTGTCAAAGCATTTGCGGAATGATTTCTCTTCTGCTGAGGAAACCTAAACCACCCTGATTTAAATGAAAAGAGTGACGGAGAGTTGACAAATCATTCCATCAATGCAAATAAATCAAATTTATCTTTACCATTTATTACAAATTTTACGTATTTCAACGGGTTTCAGGATCCGTAAAGATGACCAAGCAAGAATATTACTGGGATTGAGAAGAGAATATTCCGTGCGAAAACATCTTATTGCTGCAATTTTGCATTGGTGACGCTGGAAGTGAAGATTTCCATTGATAAATTGAGAGTGAAGAAATTCTCTTCAAATTAACACACGCAGTCTTTCTCTCTATCTTCCGATTGACGATGCAGTATTTCACGAGGCCCCGACCAGAAGACAAGCCGAGAAACCTTGGAAAATTGAAAGCTTATATATTCGTGGGCAAATCTTTTTCGCCTTCGTTCGCCGAATTGATCGTCACTTTCCCAAAATTGCGCCACAAGAAACAAAAAAAAAAATGAGAGAGAGAGGTATACATCAGTGGGAAAGGGATATTTGCCTTCTTTCTGCTGGCCATTACTGCTTCCGCACTTTTGCCGGCTTTTGGCAATCACCAGAGACAGCACAACCCCGTCTCGTCTTGTTTGCAGCAGGGGAGGGCCCGCTGCTCATCACGCCATTGTTGCTCTGTCGCATATCCGCTCTTCCCATTTCGTGTCCGCCATCAACAACACGACGCGTCGTTGCGAGACAAAAGACGGTGGCAGCCACTTTCGCGTCAAAGGCTGCGTGACGACGACGACGACTGTGACGAGCATACGACGCCACGCGTCTTGTGTGTCGACGAGAACGAACGTCGTCGGTTTATTTTTTATTTTTTTATTATTCATGCGTGTATCACGGCGCTCAACGGTAAACACTAACGGGTTGTGGGAGCAAAATTACTTTCTTCTTACGAGAGATGATGTTGAACTCGTTCTACGGAATAATGCGTAAATAAATATTTGCGAGATTGAGCAGATTGCGTCGTTGGCGTTTTTTTTTCTTCTTCTTCTTCTCTGAAGGATAAATAATGACGGGTTGGGTGAGGAAATGTAGTACATTTTTTTTGTGTGCGAATAAAGGCTGTGGCTGCATAAAGGCTTGCCATTCGAAAAGCCCAGCTGAAAATATATTCAGTTCTGGCAATCTGTTGAACACGGGATCTTGAATGCATTATTTTATGAGCCCGCCTACATTTTATTTGGAATGAATGTAGTGAAAATCCTCTGCTTCTCACACGAAGTTTGCATCAAGTGCGTACTAATACGGAGCATGCTTCAGAGCCGGTGTAAAAATTAGATTATCGATCCAAGAAATTTCAGTTATTCACCAGATCACCAGCACTCTTTAACTACAAAATACTACTGACAGTGTATAGGCAGATGATTTGAAAAATTACGCTTATGTGAGATTTCCAGTTATTACGATTTTTCAGCAGTATCCATAAAAAGATTTAGCGGGAGCATTACTCTTTTCTGCTAATATGAAAAAAATATGTTTTCTCAAATCCACCCCTTTATTTTTAAAGAACAACTGAATGAAAAAAATGATTTTTTTCAAATTCATTCCCTCATTTTCACAGATAAGCTGAATTCACAGCTGATACGAATTCCGTTTTTCTATTTGCAGCATTTTCAGCTGCTAATAAAATCAAAGAAAACGGCAGTCGCGTGTTTCGCAGGGTTATAAGGTTTCCAACTTGAAAAAACTTCGACAGAAAATGATGCGAATTTTTCAGTTTTTAATAAAAATTCTAAATTTATGATCGGACATTGTCAGAATGTATTTTTGTGCACGATCTAATGAAGACCAGCCGTATGAATGAAGAGTGAATCGTGAAGTGTAGTAAACTGGGGAAAGTCCAGAGTCAGAATTATTCAAAAGATGAAATTTAAGAAACTTAGGTATAAGACGTAAAATTCAAGTAGCAATACTTTTTTCCGGATCGATGAAACGAAAAACTGCGTGAAAGAAGTGAACATTTCTCGTCTGTTCTCATGCTACTCGAAAAAATAAATACATAAAAATCAGTGCTATATACGTAATATATAAGCAGGCAACACTTCGATTACACGGTTTGTCTGCCACTACATGCAGGAGAAGGATATGAATGCAATACTGTATTTGCATCACTATATTTTCTGGCACAAACCCCCCAAAAAAAGAGGCACAGATGAGAGGGCAATTCGCATTTTACTCTAGAGCGTATAGCGAGTTCGGGTGTCCTAGGCTTACCGTGCGTCAGTAACAAAGGGCTACTCTACTTTCTCGCTTTTATCTAGTGGCAAACGTGTCGCCCTCGGCTGGGTGGTGTTAAATACTGAGCAACAATCGCATGAAGTTGAAGGAGAACTGGATCATTCGACGTTCACACAGGATTTTTTTCTCTTTACTGTATTTTACAATAATTCCTGAAAACAGTGGTGCTTTGGGCAATCACGCATTCGATCAATCATTTGATATGTTCATTGAATTGACTAGAGAAAGGAAGTGGCTTGTAAAATTTTTGATTCGATCCACGTCATTTCCATCTATTTGACCGTTCATCAGGGCTATAATCACCATGATTTTCAAAATTGCATCATTCGATCAAGGTTTAGTAGGATTGCTTCTTGGCTTATTCAAATTTTCAAAGCATTTTGAACTATTCTTTCGTATTCATTCAATCATCATGACAAAGGCGACCGTACGTCAGATTGAATAGTTTAGGTACGCCCATGCAACCTTCTAAGCTGTATTTCTGATAAAATATAATGTATATATACAAGACATATTTCAGAGACTATGACGGGGATCACATAAAAATGAAACTTTAACCGTATTATTTGTAAAAAAAAATTTCCGGAGGATCGCACTGCAAAACATGAAAAGCCATTTCCGGTTTTCACGCCGAATATTTCCATTCATTTTTCGATACTGGAAAGATGGACTGGTGCATGATCAACAGTTTTCAGCTAAAAAAAAATATGTATATATATTGCGAAAAATTGAAGTTCAAAGGAAAAATAATACGCTAAATGTCGTCGGGGAGTCGTTGTCAAACTATTCAAATCCACCGACCGAAAGTTCCTGGCCGTCTAGATAAAACGCAGTGTGACAAATTCAGTAAACTACTCTAATTTTCATATGATCAGTTCAGTCTGCTTGAAATAAAGCTAATTAATTGTTTATTTTAATTTCAATCCTCTTGCAAGCACATCTGCTGCTGTGTGAACGCCGATTCTCCGTCGCTTTTCTCGTCATCGAGAATAAAAGCGGATAAGACAAGCACTGCTGCGGTGGTATAGCCGCGGGGCGCCGTTTTCGGCATTTACGGGAACCGAAAAAAAATTATTTTTTTTTTGCCCACCATTTAGGCAACCCGGGAGAGGGGGAAAAAATGCAGAGATTCCTGGTGCCCCGCAAGAGTCAATGGCCCGTGGCAATTTCTGCTCCGGCGGCCAAATTTTCCGCGGCGGGAACTTCACCGCTGCGGCGCTTTGGATCAACATTCTCCACGGGGTCCCAAGAGCAAGAACTGCACACTTGAACCCATCCCTTTCTTCCCTTCCTCACGTTCGTTCGTTCGTTCGTTCGTTCGTTCATCAGAGTTATTTAGCTAGCAAAGAAAAAGAATGAAAAAGTTGAACGCAACCGCGGCAATTACAGAAGGAAACGAATTTCCCCGGAGGAACATCATGATGGCATATTAATTATGCACCCCTCCGGAGGCTTCATTTTTTTTTCAACAAGGGGGCAACAAAAAAAAAGAAGGGGCGCTTTACACAGGTCCACGACAATTAACGCGGGCAACGACTCGGAAAACCGGGCCGTCAAAAGCGGCAGGGTAAGGATTTCTTTTCATCTCTTCGATTGACCCAGCTTGGGTCGAGGGAAGGAAGGATAAAAATATATGAATGAAAAAGGATTCTTCGGGGTTCCCTCGTTAGCGCAGTTAATTGGGGTCTAGCTGCTTCGTCCCATCATCAAAGCTGGTTGAAAGCGAGCGCCAACTTTTTATTCCGCCTCTCCAGCTCCGGCTTCTTCGCCACACTGCTGTGGGACATCAATAGGTGCCCGAGGACGGAAATTATTCGTCCTCTGTGCTTCAAGCCCCTTCGTGATGAGCTGGAGGATAATTGACTAGCCTCTCGTCTTCGTGTAAACTGTGCTGGAAAATTATGCATTAAAAAATATATACCCTATTTACGTATACGCGGCCGAGTATGTCCTTATGATAATCGCATATATGCACCCGCACATTTAGTGACAGTCAGAGAAAATACCTGCAAGGGTGTCAAGAAATTTGTACCGTTTTTGGAGAATTTTCCCTGCACAAATTCTACAATTTAAAGACGTAGAAATTTGTGATCAATGATTCAAGATCAAAACATTCCTAGATTTACTTGAATACTACGCACACTTTTTCGAAAACGTTTACTGAAAAATGGGGTGCACAACTTACTTGGTTACGCATTTTTTCAACTAACAAAAAAATGTATATTGTGGTGCACGTAAAGATTCAAGTCACAGAAACTTTTTTCAGGGTCATAAAGCTGCACGTATACATTTTCAGGCTCAATAGTAAAATGGAATTGCTTTTTGTACAGCTTTGTTTCATATTTTCAATTTTCCCCAATAAAAAAAATTAAATTTTGTAACTAGTACAGTATTGTGGTTTTCAACGGTGAATATCTTCATCACTAAAAACCGGAACATGTCACTTACATGGGGATAGTACCTTTTAAACCGAATTTTACTTTGCAATATCAAGGTGTAAAATATTTTGATTACAATTATTTTGGAACCTTATTTTCACGCTTTGGTAAGTTCAGGTACAGCATTGCCATTTCTGAAAATTCTGATGGCATCTGTTAATGTCAATCTCTGATAATGCAGTTGTTGGCAGAAATTGTTCACGTCAAGAACATTACCGTAAGAATTAATGAATTTAGTCACGCTGTTGGCATGTCAGGGGATTGATGCAATTTTAAAAATCAGGAACAGGCTCAAGACTCATTTCATCATTCAACAGCACAAATCCCGTCAAAAACTGGGAAGAAACTTGGAATTTCAATGATTTTTCCGCACGATTTCCTTCGGAAATATCCATTTGAAACGGCGCCTTTGTTCAAATTATAGAGCTAAGAACAGGAACGAGGGGTGAACAACGAAATTCGATACAGAAATCTCGGCGTGAAACAAGGCTAGGCGGGAAAAAAATTAAAATTTGCGTATGATTGCGACGACTATGACGACGAGCGTCGGCGGCGGCGGCGGCGTCGGCCGCGACGGTGGCACGTGACCCCCGTGCCGCTTGGCATGAATAATGGACGCCTAACCCTACGCCAGCAAGAGGCCTTCCTGTTCGTCCTTTCCCTCTTATTTTTTTTTTCCTCTTTAGCTTCCTGTGCTTCATTTCCGTCATCGATGGACTATCAACAATCTTACAGCCTTCGTTTTTTTTTTTTTTGGTGGACGCCATGCGTTCAAAAATTGAGTTTAATACGGATCGACTTGGCTTTGATGAAACTTGTTCGTGACTCCTCCGCTTTGAGTCCGTTTTATGACGCCGTCTATAGTCGCCCTTTAACGTTTTCCAAACATTTTGGATGCTACATTCTGGATCTCTGGCTCGAAGTATTATTTTACTGTATTTTAAAGATCAGCAGTAAAACGCGAATCTTCGGAAGTCTTGGGTGAATATTGAGCATGTCTAAATTCTGCCTAGAAAAGTCTTCCGGTTTGAAACTTGTGCTAAGTAACGTCTACTCCTTACGGATATCAAATCACAGATTTTATATTTAAATTTTTTGTTACTGTTTGTAAAATGTGCCATGGACGTCTGTAAATGTCCCTTGCAAAAACTTTACTTTGATCGTCCGATTGCAATAATCAACATTGCTAAGCATTTTGAATAAATGCTTCAGGTTCTGCAAGATGTTGCCACATGGGCAAAGGAATTCTCCAAGGTGCCACTGTGGCATTTGGCAGGAGGCGTGTGCATGGCAGAAGTTCCACTGCACAGCAAACTGGTGGCAATATAGGATTTCCGGTCGAAAAGAGAGACTGGCACGGAAACTTCACTTGAAGATTTTCACCTGCCAGCAGAGGAAGGACTGAGGATTTTCTTCCCTTTGGACGTGTTGTGTGACTGTTGGACTGTGTTCTGCTAGGGTATTCTCCTGAAGGCTTTTGTGAAGTGTTTTATTACCGTGTCTGTGCCCACGCTCTCTTTTGTTTCGTTGACCTGAATATACTGTACTGAGGTTCTGAAGAAACTCCAATGAGAAGGAACCTGCTGCTTAACAGCTGATGGCCTGTGTTTCCTTTTCTAACCTTTTGTTGTTTCTTGAATTGGCGATAACAAGAGTAACGGTAGCATCAAAGCACAGAAAGTTGGATTTTTGTGAGAACTTCTCTTAATTTTTGATTTGTTGAAACAAAAAAATTTCATTGTTGAACTTATCAGTGCACCTTTTCTGAATACATGTCATCACCAAGGTGCAATATCAGATATAGAATTGACAATTGTTTCCGCAACTTCAAAATTTCCCTCCATGAAATTGTTCAAAATCTACACAGAGTTATAGTAGCCCTTTCCAGGTTCTTCAAATATGTAAGGCATGTTTTTCGTCTTCAATGATTAACTAAATAAATGTCTTTTCAAGAGCTTATATGAAACACGCCTGGATGAAAAACAAGCAAAAGCAAGAAAAACTTTCAAATGCCTTCAAGTAAATCCAAGAAGATTTTCCCCATCCAAATAAAATACGTTGGCGCTTGGAAGCCATATTTAGATCAGCTGCGTCGATTTATTGTGATGTTCATCTTTTTCATTTAAATTATCCGAGATGACGTCCACTCTCCGTAGTAAAAAAGAATCAGTAGCAGACCATCAGTGGCATTTTTCCTAAAATAAATTGTGCATTTTTCCAAAAAGTAATTAATTAATTGCCATCATTATCTGAGATACCACGACGCTTCGTGCCTCAGTCACTTTTTTGAGCATCTCCTGAGTTTTTCAGATGATCCCAAAGTTTTTTCTCGTTAGTTGTGGGTTCGAGGACGATTGAAGAATATTTGCGTGCATCTACCGGAGAATACTCGGGGGAATTACGGATCAAGTAATTAGCATTCCACTGGGAGGTTGTCTCATGCAGCGAAAAAGGAATAAAAAAAAGTTTCACCAGCATAGCGCTATATGCAGAGAAACTTGAGGCAAGGGCAGAGGCGAAGAATACATTCATTATTATTTTTTCCTTTACCCTCGCCGAATAAGAACGTTATAGTAATGGTGGGGAGGAAATATTCTGTTATGAAATTTCACCGGCCAGCGACGTATCAATACAGTGTGCAAGGGATGAAAAAAGGCTGCCCAGTGGAGCTGAAGGAGTTGCCTGACTAACGAACCCGAAGGATCCCGCATCTGATCCAGTTTCTCCGCGCTTTTATTTTTTGTTCTCTATCTTTCTCTCTTTTCTTCTCTCTCTCTCTCTCTCTCTCTCTCTCTCTCTCTCTCTCTCTCNCTCTCTCTCTCTCTCTCTCTCTCTCTCTCTCTCTCTCACTCGTTGTCCTTTCACCCCCCACGGGAGGGGCAAAAAAATTTCCTCATGCGACGGGCTATCGTAGGTTCTTCCCCTCGGGCCTTTTTATCCGCTGTAGAAATCATATTTCCGGGGTCTCTCTCTCTTTCTCTGTGAAAAAAAAAATCCTCCCCTTCTGCTCCTTGTTGCCGGTTCCTAACTCCTTGTGCCCCTGGCGAGAACAGCTTACTGTATTGTATCGGCTATATTTTTATACTGGTAGCCTCGCGGTGTAGCAATAAAAAGAGTATCAAATTTGCTCGTACTGTATGCTGCCCGAGACTTGAGACATTTGAAACATTTACAATGTGAATCTAAGGATTGAAATATAGGCTGGAATTTCAGGTTACTGTTCCTCTCTGCACGTTTAATTAACGTAACTCCTGAGATTCAGCATTTAATGGTGTGCAAATTGTCAGATCATGCATTATTGATTCCTTAGAGATTTCGTCCGTTCCAGTTTCCCAGATTTCGTTTGCTGTCACACGGGTTTATCAGGACTGAATGTCATTTTTCGAACATAATACGTTTTTCGGACGTACTCTAAAAAAAACATGATTCTTTACAAAGAAAAATGAAGGAGCATATGATCAACAAGCACCTATCATGGAAAAAGCATAAATCAATAAGCTTTTATTGGAGAATGCTTCCGTTTGATAATTTTCTTTCAAATATTATGCAGCATAAATATATTTTTTCGAGATTTTCGCGACTGCCTCGGAAATTAATTAAGGGTAATTTTTCTTCGAATGCAGATAGAACATTTCAAACACCGTGTCTTTTATTAGCGTGCTGGTATGTTTCGCCGTCAGTCTGTGCGTCATTGGGGCTAATTGCTTTGAGGCACGTAATGATTTTCAGTTGGTCTTGACAGTTGGTTCAAAGGCATCTTGCAAAGAATAACACACGAACACATAGCATTGCTTCGTACAGATTTACAGAATAAGTCTTCACTTGAATAGTT